GCTCCTCCTACCATTGGCGTATCATTTGCAGCTGATGTCGCTAAGCGTCATCGTCAACTGATCATGGTTCTAAGGGAAACAGTGTCTTCGTACACCGTGTCTTCCTTCATCGCGAGTGAAAAACTCGAAGACCTCCGCAATGCCATCATCATGCTCTGCTCTCAGCTCCGTTCCCTTCGCGACGGAGGGGTGATCGTCCGCGTTGATCCTGCCCCTGGCTTCTCCGCCCTTGCCAAAGACAGAGTACTCCTCTCTTATGGGATCACCCTGGAGGTTGGTAGGCCCAAAAACCCTAACAAGAATCCTGTGGCTGAGCGCGCAATCGAAGAGCTAGGCTTGGAGATCCTCAACTTGTCTCCTGAGGGAGGCCCCGTCTCTCAAACTACGCTGTCCTTAGCAACGGCCAATATGAACTCCCGCATCCGCCGTGATGGCCTCTCAGCTCTTGAGTTGTGGACGCAACGCGACCAGCTCACTGGTGCGCAGCTTCCAATTGTCGACCGCCAGATTATCCTCAGTCAAAACTTTTCCCGCCAGCAGAATCACATGCCGAGTGCTAAGTCCAAGGCCCATGGCTTTACCAAAGCCTCCATCCCCACTGTCCTTGTTGGTGACCTTGTTTTCATCAAAGGTGACAAAGACAAACTGAAAGCCCGCGACAAGTATCTTGTGATCGGCATCGATAAAGACCTTTTCTGTCAGCTCCGCAAGTTTACCAGTTCACAGTTCCGCAGTAAGGTCTACACCATTCCTATGTGTGACTGCTACCCTGTCACCCCAACTGTCCTAGCTCAGACTCCACAAGGACCCATCCGTGGCCAGACCGAATCCACTGCTTCTGACTCTGACGATGATCCTGTTCCCGTCGTCCCTTCACTAAGACCCCCTACAGTGCTTGCTTCTCCACCAGTGGATACCTATACTGTTCCGGTACACCACTCAGTGTCTCCAGCTCATTCTCAGCTACCCGCCCAGGAACACCCCCCAATTCCTGAAGTCATTATGCCTTCTCGGAGTCCTCCACAAGCTCCCCTGGACCCCTCTTTTACTGATGATGCACAGCCGACGCCTGCTGCTGTTATCCCCACTAGGAAATCTGACCGCTCGCGGAAAGCCCCATTTTGGCACAATAAGGACTGGGACTTTGACTAATAACTCTGCCGTGTACTCTCTAGCCGTAACTACGGTCTTTACCATGAACTGCGTATTTTATTAGCTCACTCGTACCTTATCATAAGGGGGAATACACCCCACCGTTACATTCAGTTTCATATTTATTCTAGCTCTTTCATTACTTTTAGCCGTTGTTATCCTATGCGGTTTTAGTCTAGTGCTCGTATCAGTTCAGCCTATTGTTCATGTTTTATTTCTTAGTTAGGGTAGGAAAGAAGGAGGAGGCAATCACGCCACTACGTTGTTATTGTGTTACTTTCAGCGGTATCTAGCGCGCGCATGCGCCCGTCGATCATCTTTGTAATTCCATGCGGTTCTCGTTCGGTCTTCAGTAAACCCTCGTTAAGACACAGTTTGTTCCTTATTGGCGCATGTTGAAATAGTCGACTCCCGATAATTCGAACTTTTAAGGGAAATAGAAAAAAGTTCGAGTTATCAGGATTTCGAGTTATCGAGGGTAAAATTATATGGAAAATGATCTGAAGGGAAATAAAAATTACTTCGAGTAAACGGGAGGTTCGAGTTATAGAAGGTCCGAGTTGCCGGGAGTCGATTGCATGTATGAACTTTTAAAGGAAAGTGAAAGTAGTGACTGTTCTTAACCGCACACGACATTGAACTAGTGCTTCACGGTTTGAAGGATTTCGTTTCTTAACTTAACAACTCCAGTGGCGTACTTTCTATGGACTTTTGAACGGCAAAAATGTTAGTAGACGTTCTGCATCCCGGAAGTAGGTACGCCGTGATTTAATCTGTTTAATATTCCTCCGAGAATTCTCGCATTGCGTTTTCTGTCGTATACAGTTCAAATAGTGGGTGTATAAATTTCAGGAAAAAAAGTTTAATTTTTGAAAGGTGGAGAATTTTTTCGTAAGCATTTTCATGGAGCTTAGAACATTATTAGACCCGTAAAAATCCCCAATTTTTTAAAAATGGTCGAGAGGGAGCGCTACAGTCGACGGCCGTCTTGACAAAGTCTAGCTTGAAGATGACTATCTCATCTACTTTAGGCGGCGGGGGAACTCGATTCATGGAAAGTTTAAACCATCTTTTTTTTTGTTTTTTATGCTTTGTTTTCAGCAACTACTTAATTCGACTGAATTAAATCAGCACTGATGAGTATCTAATTGCATTTTTTTGATAATTATATAGTTTAAGGGATTCAAAAGATTGAATGTTTCCAGGGTAGCTTTTTCAGAGAGTGCATGAAATAAAATATAAAGATACATTCAATATAGTATTCAGTATTTTTAGCATTGTTTCTGACATACAAAACCTAAATTTACCTGTCCAACTTTTGAACACAACTGGAACACCCTGGCTTTAGCAAGTTTCTGGTTCAGTTTATTATACTTGGATGAATATTTTTATTGTCATTTCCTACTACGACTGCTAAAGCAGCTGTCATGCAGTGCAGTCTCAAAGTAGTTAAAGGAGACATGGGAGTGTGTGGTCTAGTAGACCACATTTCACTAGTTCTGTAGAGACCTGGAGAGCAATCAGCAAGAAAGTATGCTTATTTGCATTGTCTATTAATTCAACAAACTTTCCTCCACATTGTGTCCCTCTTTTCATGTGCATACCTGGCCTGTAACTGGCAGTGTCTCTTACAATCCAATTATGAAAGATTACAGTGTAGTCTGTCTCCAAGGAGGCAATTTGAGTTAACTTACTGACAGAAAAAAGCTCTGAATTTGTGGGCATTATTGACTCAAAGCTTGTCTTCCATGATTTACAATAAATTATTTTTTATGATAGCAGGTGGTTTCTGATTATTTTTCAGATCGTGACACAGGATGACACAAAGGAGAGAAGTAAAGCCGTGTTGATGCGTCAAATATAATTTTTAAAATGGCTTCATCGACATCTGGGTGAGCCTAAAATAAGTTGATCTTCATTAGCATGTACACACAAGATTGATTCAGCTAAAGTACAAACATATATATTAACAATGATGAACTTATTTACAGCTGTAACTTACGGCTGCTCTGGTAGCTTGATAAATCAAGAGTTGCTTTTATTCCAAAAAGATTTTTGTAACTGATAAATGAACTCACCTAGACTGGGTTGAAAGGTTGAAGACCCTTCAACATAGCCACAAGTGAAAGTGAAGAATGATCATCGCAGTAAATTTTCCAATTTAAGCAATTGGAAAGAAGAAGCCTGAAAAAAATCAGGGCTTCAATGGGATTCGAACCTGTGACCTCTGCGTTACCGGTGCGTTGCTCTACCAACTGAGCTATGAAGCCACACATTGGGAGCGAGGTCAATTTATTGAGTTCATATCTCCTGGGAGGAGTGAAATGATGTGAAGTATGTGAAATAATTCATTTCTGAACTGCGGTTGTAGATGAAAGTGAAGAATGATCATCGCAGTAAATTTTCCAATTAAAGCAATTGGAAAGAAGAAGCCTGAAAAAAATCAGGGCTTCAACGGGATTCGAACCCGTGACCTCCGGGTTACTGGTGCGTTGCTCTACCAACTGAGCTATGAAGCCACACATTAGGAGCGAGGTCAATTTATTGAGTTCATATCTCCCGTGAGGAGTGAAATGATGTGAAGTATATGAAATAATTCATTTCTGAACTGCAGTTGTAGATGAAAGTGAAGAATGATCATCGCAGTAAATTTTCCAATTAAGTGTTGCACTTATGCTTTCTGACAAATTCAATTTATTTCATGCCGCTTTTTTCATTATTTTTGTTTCTTAACTTTTTTCTTTTCTGTTTCATTGAAATTGCATTTTAATTATTGACAAAAGGTCAAGTGAACCCTTTGGACTTTGTTTGCATGAACCTTATACCGATCAAAGGCCCTGTCGTGGCCGATCAATAAATAAGTTTGTTAAACAAAATCATTACAGAATTCTGCCTTTTGATCAGCATCATGCATAAAATCACGTGTCCCATGACTATTTGTGCACACACAAAGGATGCCGATGCATGTAGCGTCCTGTGACTCTCTGAGTGAAGTTTTAGCTTATTGTTTGTACCATACAAAGGTAATTTAACTTAAGCAAATCAATAATTCCAAGCTTTCGCACTAGTCTCCTTTTTATTTGGAAATGCAATCGCTCGATCAACTTGTAAATTATTTTGACTTCATAAAATATTTCAAGGATTTAAGCCAGTAGAACGTATAGAATGCCAGAAAAACAAACATGAAGTTGAATGATTTCAAATTGAGCTTCCAGTTGTTTTCATCAGTATGCAGATTACCTATAGTTTCCATCAACCTGAATTATCCTGCTTTTTTTCCGATTTTCCGACTTGCTTCGTTTCATTTTATTTTTGTTTTTGTGGCAGCATAATTCTTTCATGTGAGTTTATGCTTTCAAAAGGGTAAACTTTGAGGAAACGTTGTGTTTACAGCCACAGCAATTAACATGTGTATTTGCTTCACTTATACGTATAGGCAAATAATATTTACCCTACATACGGGGCATTTTGCTGCATGGAGACAAAAACGTCACCTTTGATTTCTCAAATGCTTCCGAATGTGGGTACCCTGTTTATTGTGACTTATAATAGGATTTTTTTAGCTTTGCTTCAAACTAATCATTCCAAAGTTCTAATGCAGTGAAATTATGATAAATACTGCAGCTGAATAAAGTCACGCAACACTCGCTCTCTACCAAAAAGTAGATAAGTCTGGACCTCTTCTAGGAAGACCCCCCTGTAGTTCAATTCTCATAAGGGACCACTTCCCTGCAGAAACAACCATTAAATCTTTACATTTTCGGTGGTCTCTTATGGAGGTTCAACAGAATTATTACATGTACAGGCCCAGTGCTGTTGCAAAGTTTCATTTGTTCTGGTAATGTTAATATTCATTAATCTTCAGGTCAAGTCACCTTGGTGTGACAGATAATCAGAAAAGATGGCTTGTCTTTGGAATAGCACTCAACAAGATCCTTGTGCCACAGATCCGTCCTTTTGTGGAACAAGAGGTTGATAAGGAATACAACAATCTCAAGACAAGCCACAATATTCATACACAAAGTACATCTGGTCGTCTTCAAAGGTGGCCTGCAAGAAAGTTTTTAAAGTATGAGAACATCAATGGTAACAGTCATCACCCAAAGCTTCCGGGTGGAAAATACAACATTTCCTTGTTTGATTGTAGAGTGTTATCTCACATTGACTTTGCCAAGTTGTACGTTGAAAACTTCATGGCTAAGTTCAGTGCTTTTGGTGACCATTGTGATGCTTCAGCTGTACTCTCATTACTTGGTGGTGTACCTGTGTTCTCAGCTGCCTTGCAAGCTGCAGCTGGTGATGTCAGGAATGTTAGGAATGACTGGGCACACTGTGTCTTCAGTAAGTGGGATCCTGTTAAGTTTCAGCAGAGTTTTGTTGAGATGGAGCACCTGGTGAGAGTCATGGCTCTACCTGCTGCAGATAAAACAAAACTCCTTGGAGAACTGAAAGATTGGGAGACTAAAGGTACTATATGTACTTCATATTATTATACAATTAATGATTGGTATAATATTAGTGTTGGTACATTTTTAACATTTGCTATCCTTACTGAACTGAAAGGTGCTGTTAAACAGTCAGGATCAGTTATCAGTCATTTATGTATACCAAATATATACATGGGTGTAGCTACCAGCTGTACCCAGTAGAGACAAAAAAATAGATGGAGATCAACAGAAGCCAAATAAGAGAAAGCTAAACAAGGTGCAATTCCTTTGATTTACATCTTAAATTTTATTTTTTTTTTGGATGATTCTTTTTAAAAACAAGTGGAGTGCATTGTTTTCTCCAATTTAGCACATTGGCAAAAGCCCTTAAATACTGCTACTTGAATAGGATGGTCCTAAGACCAAAAGAGTTGAGTTTCTCACCATACTGTAAAACTGAAAAACGGATATTCAATCAAGTTCACTCTGCATTCTTAACTTCATTATTATCAAACGGTTCTTAGAAAACAAGAGCTTCTTTTTAGGTTTGAAGTTCCTTTCCAACTGTTTTTAAAAAAGGATCGCCCCCTCACTGATTTCAACGTGAAGGTTTAAAATATGGCTTTGATCCAGTAAGATTATTGATACTTCCAAGAAAATAGGCCTTGGGATATTTAATGATTGCCAGGCTTTTTAGTTAGCTGTTCATAATATTTTGCTCTACTTATCTGTGTAGATACTATGTCTAATTTATAAATCTTTGTGCTTTGTTTGCAGGGACTTTGTTGTGCATGAACTCTCCAGTAGACCCAGCATTGCTTCAACTAGTCCAGCAAGAAGTAAAATTATTACAAGACAACCTGAAAAACCTGTCTGTAGAATTTGACCAAGAAAAGATTAGGGTACAACAAGAACTACAAAACGCTGCCATAATTCTTGAAGAAATGAAACAGACAGTGGAAAGACTGAATAATTTTCAAGGTATTTCCAACCTGTTTAACCTCTCCAGTCCATTTTCATATTACTGACGTCATTATTGCAAAAATATATTGGTTTCCTGCTTTTTCTTTACTTGTGGGATCATTTAAAAACTGCAAACATTATGCTTTTGTTTTGTAGAGACTGCAGATCAGAGGTTTGAAAATTTAGAGACTCGTACCGGACAAGTTGAAGACCAAGTACACAGTCTTACCGGTAACTTCGAGATAACAATTATAGTTAATTATTCTTTGAAATCGAGGTGAATAGTGGCTAAATATTTACCGAGCCACGAAGTGTCGAGGTAAATATTCCTAAAGCCACTATTCACCGAGATTGAAAAGAATAATTGTTTTAGTATATACATGCGAAGTGATCTCCGCAAAATCAGGGAGGAAACCATTAAAAAGTACGATTTGATTGACAGTTCAGGTCAGCTAGACACGCGAACGTTGAAAAATAGATCTTTGAAACATGGCAATTCACAAGCTTATCACTTCGCAAACAACAACGTAATGACTTAAATGGAACCGCTAAAAGTTTGAATTGTTTCCTTACCTGAGAAGAAAAGAAGAGCTTTGTTGTTTTCTGTTGACTCGCCAAGTTTATAACCGAAAAGGTTTGTTGTGTCGTTCTTCGCATGAAGCGCTGACAAAAATGGCGATTTGGTTCCTCGAGGTGAGACGTCGTTTTCATGTAGCATTCTTTGTCCTATTTACTTGAAACGTAGAATTTCTGCAAACAGTTGCTTTCAAATTTGTTTGTCATAAATAAACTTCGGTTTTGGGCCAATTTTTTCTTGTTAGGAAACGCTGAGTTCACGAAACGGCCTCTTCTAAGCGAATAAACGGGAGTTGTAAACAATCCATCGACCACAAAACTCAACTACAGTAAATGGAAAAATGCCGTTTTCAATCCGTCGAAGTCTTTTCTTGCCTAAAAAAAGTCAACCCTAGGATTTTGTCGACTTCTAAAAGATCTTTCTCTGAAACAATGGGAAAAAACCGAGCTCACACATTATCCACTCGCTAGGAGGTGAATATTGTTGAATAGTCTCATTTACGGAAAGAAGACAGCAGATCAGCGGTTTAAACTTTAATAAGTTAAAGACCTTACAAAGGTCAGTTAAGCAGGTTAAGTCGGGCGTCACATAGAACCCTCTAACTGGCGCTGCCTTTGTTAAGTCCATGCACCCAGTCTGTTAAGTCCAGTGGTCGCGGAATGAAATACCGTGGATGAGATCGGAGGACAACACATGCACATGTCCTCTTTACATTATACGTTAACATACCAAGAGTAAGCGTGGATGTCATCATACAAGGGTACCCACTGGCAGTTACTATCAGCTACGAGCTAACTGTAACCCGCCCAGCCATGGTATGAATGATGTGTGCAAGGCAGTCTACACCACCATGGAAATGTTCCCCACTCTTGTCAAACAGTAGTGTGGGATCTTTTTACGGCCCCTTCGATTGAAAGAAGCATAAAGGATAACGGAGGCAAGGCCAACGGCTTAACGTCACCGGCTAAAGACGCGATCATCTTAAATGAGAATCACAGCCTTCATGATCTTAACAGTTTTTTTAAGACCCTGGTTGTTCGTCAGGCCCAGGCTTGAACTCCCACCCTCTCGCTCGGTAGACTGGCGCTCTCACAACTGAACTGCAAGGATCACATTCACTTTCATATCATCATCCGCAGCTTACATACCTGTAATATACATGAATGATTAATTTCATTTATTATAAGTCAAAAGAAGGATTGAGGATATTGTTTTGCACGGGAAAAAAATTCCTTTTTAATCCAAGTTTCTCTTTTCTCCTGTCTTACTCAATTGCAGCAAAGTTTCATGACCTGACGGCTAAAGAATCTGCTTTGACAAACGCTTCTCTTCAAGACCAACTGATGACATGTGACGGTAGGTTTGTCATTGATAATAAATATAGCTGCATGATTTACAGTGAAATTTTTTATTTGTGACAAGAAATTATCGAGAGAAAAATCAAATTACCTTGCATATAGTTGTCAAAGGAAGTTATTAAAGGAAGATCCCCAATACATTTTCTCTCTACATTTTTGTATAATCAGACACCATACTTTCCTGTGGTAGATAGTTTTAACAGATTGACAGCGCTTTGACAGAGAGTTTGATAAAACGTAGTGGTACGAATGGTTTGCTTTCTTGTAGCGACTGGAACACTTGAAATGAAAACGCTAACTCAATAACGAGAAGTCCAACACGCGTGAACTTTCGTCGACTGTTAAAATACAGTAAAATTCCGAAAATAAGCCCCTCCATGTATAAGCCCCTCCAAATATAAGCCTCCTAAACCGGTAACGCAAAAAACCCTCCCTTAACTCGCCCCTCCAAATATAAGCCCCCTAACTACACACCCAGGGCAACTATCCCGCAATTATAAAAACAGCAAAAACACCCAAAAAAAGCCCCCCCCTACTACACCCCCCCCAAAAACAACCCCCCCAACCCCCCACCCCAAAAACCCCCCCCTTAACCCCCCCCCCCAAAAAAAACCCCCCCCCCCCCCCCCCCCAGGGGCTTGTCTTGGAAAATTGCCCTCGAATACAAAGTAAAACTAGGCAAAAACTGTAAATTTACTTCCAACTATAAGGCTAGCACAATCGACATTGAAACGCAAGTTTCCCTTCGAAGATAAGCCCCTCCGAATATAAGCCCCTCGAAAAGGGCCTTTGAAAAATATAAGCCTCGGGGCTTATTTTCGAAATTTTACTGTATGCTCCTTTTTATCCATTGTTCAAATGTATATTATTTTAAACACAGAGGAAATTATATGCCTCATTTCTGTTTTCCCTCATTAGTCAATCCAGGTAAACTTGTCGAACTTATCAGACGAGACTACAAGGGCGCGGTACTGTGTCCCTTTCCATGGTGTGAAGATGAACTACAGCTGAAGCTGTCGAACATCTTCACAAGATTGCAGATAGTCAGTAGAACAAAAGAACGTTCAAAACTTACGCATTCCACCGTCAATATGACAGAAATATTCAAGTCGCATCCAGAATGCCACAATCCAAGAGTGGTGCTGATCGAAGGGAATCCTGGGATGGGCAAAACTACGTATTGTCAAAAGCTGACATATGATTGGTCCGTGGGGGAAATTCCACCTGATGCTTCGTTTCCTGAAGTGAATATATTGCTGCTGTTAAAATGCCGTGACATGCACATGAAAACGGCTAACATCGAGGAAGCTATTGAAGATCAGCTTCTACCACATGATGCAAACAAGAGGGAAAAGCAAGACTTGTTCCACTTTATTCGCTGTAATCAGTCCAGAATCTTGCTGGTTCTTGATGGTTTAGACGAACTGCGTGAAGACCTTCTGGAGGGTTTTCTGCCTTTGATTCAAGGAAAAGTCTTTGCTAATGTGTACCTCATGTTAACAGCTCGACATGAAGCAGGGATGAGAGTAAGGCGTTATTGTGACACCCTTCTTGAACTTGTTGGTTACACAAAACATGATGTCGAAAGTTACATTAAAAAGTATTTCATCGGTCATGAGGATCAAACCCTTGCTGACAAAATGATAAACCAGTTAATACGCGACAAACAACTCGCAGAATTAACAGCAAACCCCCTTAATACAGCTTTGTTGCGTCTTCTCTGTGAAGAAACAAGAGGAGTCTTTCCTTCGAAAAGAACCATGATGTACGATGACCTTGTGTCGTGCGCTCTCAGAAGGTATTTTGCAAAAGGAGGTATTTCTTTGGGTGACCAAGATCCGATGGAGCGATGTGCAAGTGAGCTGAATCAGTTGGGGAAGATGGCATTTGAGGCTTTGCTTAAGAATCAGTTATATTTCACTCAAGATGAGGTGAAATCCCATTCCCCTGCTTTAAATTTCCTACGGTTGCCGTTTCTTTTCCGTGAGCCAAGTGTGAGCAAAGTCAGACCAACACCGACCTACGCGTTTACTCACAAAACATTTCAAGAATACTTTGCGGCGTTTTACCTGGCCCATCAGGTTTTGTCTGGTGACAAAGGGAAAGAGAGATTGTTGGATGAACTCAGTCCTATTGATTATTGGCAGGTGTGGGAATTTCTCATCACAATAGTGTTAAGCAAGAGTGTTAAAGCGGCAGTAACTGTTGTCTCTCGCCTTTGTGCTTTCTTTTGTCACAAGAGGCCTTTAAGTTTAATGGACGTGAATCGCGACGATGCTGATTTGGATCGACGCGAAATCTTCAAGGACAGTCCGTATGACTGGGCTAAGTATTTGAGAAAAATGAACAAGGATGAAGGAACGCTATGCAACGTCCTCAAAAAAACCCTTGATCTTATTGCTGAGTGCGAAGATGGTGATGATGAAATGAAGGATTACCAAAAGGAAGTTGTGCGTGTGCTTGCCCGCTGCTTTCCAATTAAAAAATTGGAACTTACACTAAGTGCTAGTACACCCTGCTCCGTGTACTCTGAGTATCTAAGACTGAATTACAGTTTGACAGATTTGAATTTGTATAGTGCGTTTGACCTGATCCTGTTAAAAACAATTGAACATGTTTTTCATTCTAAGCCAAATTTGGTGCATTTTACGTTTCTAAACCCGACATGGGCTTTTGATTCTCGTATTGGTGTATTATTTGCTTCGCCTGAACGAGAAAAGGTTTTTTCAAGGCTGGATCAACGTCTTCAGTGGAACCAGTTGGTCGGTACCAAAGCACTGCTCTCAGACGTCCTTCAGTCAGGTCGTGTTTTAACACATCTGAATCTAGACAGAGTCTGGATCTGCGATGGAGGAGCTCAAGTACTCGCGGATTTCCTTCAAATAAATCAAGCTTTGACACATCTTAATCTACGTTACGCCATGATCTATGACTTTAGAGCCATTTTACTCAGTGACGCTCTTCAGTCGAACAGCAAATTGACACATTTGAGTCTTCCAGAAAATTGGATCAGTTTTGCTGGAGCCTTTGCTCTAGCGACAACTCTGACGTTCAATTCTGTACTAACATATTTAGATCTGAGTCAAAATCTTGGCGGCGATTCATTTGCCGTAGCGCTGTCGAAAGCTTTGGAATCTAACTGTGCCTTAAAGTACTTGAATCTGTGTCAATGGTTTGACTGCATTGAAAAAAATACACCTTTTCCGGAATCTGCTAACGTGCACGTTGAAATGATTGGACCTGAAGGAGGATCAGCCCTTGCAAAAGCTGTTCGATTCAACTGTACATTGACTTATTTAGATCTTCAGTATAATAACATCGGCGACTCTGGAGCAGCGGCACTTGGCGAAGCTCTTCGAACAAACACAACTTTGAAGGAATTATACCTCAAAGACAACAAGATAGGGGAAATAGGATCAGAAGCCCTCGGAAAGGGGCTACAGTCAAATCGTACTTTGACCCATTTGAATCTAGATTTTAACCACGATATTGGTGATTCAGGCGTATCAGCCATCGCAAAGGCACTACAGTCGAGGGGCAGTAAATTAACCTGGTTAGATCTAAGTTTTAACAAAATCAGCTCCTCGGGTGCCACCTCCATCTCAGAAGCTCTTTGCGTTAACAGTTCTCTCACACATTTAGGATTGGGGAGTAATAAGATCAACTCTTCTGGCGCCTCCACAATTGCTAACTCACTGCAATCAAATCGTACGTTAATTCATCTGAATCTTGGTGGTAACGAAATTGGCGATTCAGGGGCCAAAGAATTTGCTCACTCTCTTACGAAACACAACAACACGCTGGGCTTTTTATACCTTGATGGCAACAATTCAATAAGTTCAGTAGGAATAGAAAGCCTTGAACAGGTTGATCAGTCGAAATGTATCGTGAAGTATTGAAACGGCGGCGGTAGATTATCCAGGTCATTAGACTTATTTTGTTTTTTTAATTGCAAGATGTAAAATCTTGGTGATTCAGGGACCAGATAATTAGCAGACATACACTATTCAGAATCATTAGAATCACTATTAAGACCTAAATGAGGACCGTTCCACTAATATGGGTCCAGTAGGGATTGCAAGATTTAAACAGGTTAATCAGTGAATTCGTATCTTGAAGTACGATGTACCGTGGTTTCCCACTGAAGTAATTTTTTCCTCGAGAAACAAGTTTATTTATCTTTATTGTAAGACGTAAACCTCTCTTTCGCCAATGTGTGTGTAACTATTTAAAACTTGCTAGCCTGCTTTTTCTTTTCCTTTTTCCTCGCGCTATAGCTTATTTCTCGGTAATCCGGCCTCATTGAAAGCCTAGAACAGGCTAAGAACCGGCAAGAATAAAGAAGACTTTGAGAACTTTAAATGAGTTGCATCGTTTGTCATTCCAAATCCGTTTTATCGAATTACAGGGCAAAGCTCGGTTCGAGCCTGTGTACATACCCCCTCCCCTAAAAAAAAAACCGGAGAAAGGGCCCCGGAGCGAGTAACCCTCTTGGTCATTGATCTGGGCCCATGAAACGTTGCGCAGCGGAGTTTTCACCTGACAGGCCAGGTTATTTTTAAATGATACATTTTCCGGCGAATTTCAACTGTCAAGTTAGCAAAAAGAAAAGCGTTCAGCAGTAACTGGAGATAAGAAAATGATCTGTCTAATGGAAAAAAATACAATGTCGAGAACATGGCTTGTCAGCTGTGGGTTGTTCAAAGATAAGAGAGAAAGAAATAGTATTGCTGGGTTTAAGTTTCACGTACTGATCTAAACATGGATCAAAATCAAAGCCATTCAATTGATAAAGTCCAGAATCTGGGAAATGAGATACGCAAATACCCTCGCCAAGATTCAGGCCAGTGCAATTTTTCATATACGAGACCATCCGGAGAAATGTTTTACTCAGATTTAATGACATTTGCGTGGAGACGCCATGCAGGTGTCCATCCGGATGGGCGGCCGAAAATAAATAGAAACGTCTGTTACTGAGTTTTGCAACGAAAGCATGAATTTCTCTCTCGAGGAACTCATAAGCATCAAAGGAACACTTTTCCTAATACATGAACTGTTTAGATAGCAAAATTTCTCGAAATGAGTGACTTCAGTTTAATCTACATGACAGCCTTCTCGGCCGTCATGTAAATTTAACTACAATTTTTATTGACACTCCCTAAAGAGGGCTTTTCAGTGACAATGATAATACGTCAAAAGGGGAGTAAATCTAAAAATTACAAAATTCCAATAATAAAATGTTTTATAGAAAAAATAAGCAAGCTAAAATTTTAATAAATATTCGCTAGAATTACAACTGAAACAGAAACTTTAAAAAATACAATAAAATAGATATGACATAAACTAAGACCGATAAGATAGGGAAGCAGCAAATAATTTGGCTCTAAGTTTACGCTAAAAATTACGAGTAGAGTTACAGAGTTTAAGGGAATTATCTAGACTGTTCCACAGACTTGCTGTACGGTAAAAGAATGTCCTTTGTCCGGATTTAATTTTGATATAAGGGTATATGCAGAAGTTGGGAGCGGAGCAATGCAGTCATACACTAAAAAGCAAGCACGGCGTTACGGAGATAAAGCTGGGATTAAATAGGTAGCCAGTGCAGTTCTTTCAGAAGCGGAGTAACGTGGTCAAATTTTCTGGAACCACAGATAATCCGGGCTGCAAAGTTCTGGACCGCTTGGAGCTTGAGGAGGTTAGTGTCCGCTGGATTGGACCAGACGGAAGAGCAATGAAACAACTTACTAAACACTAAAGTGTTAATAGGCCACTTCCGAGTTCCAAAAACCGTCACTTTCAAAATGAGGCTAGGTGCACAACCTTTCTTGTGAAAATGAGTTTTAGTTGCATGAGAATGAAAAATGATTTCCATATCAATGTTGAGCACCTACCCTCGTTTTGAAACAGAAGCCCGGGGGAACTCGGAAATGGCCTTTTATTGTAGTTGAAGTCGATCTGTCAAACACGTGCTTAACGCAATCAATCTGAGGTAAACTTGAGAAACGGGAAGAAACGGTTTTAACAATATGCTCCTGAAAAGTAAGGCTCGAGCCAAAAGTCACCCCGGTATTAGTTCTTTTCCTAAGAGGGAGAGATGAACATCCGGGAGACTTTGTAACCTTTGTTGACTTCCATAAACAATGAGCTTAGATTTATCAGGATTAAGAGAAGACCATTTTCGAAACACCAGTTTCGATTATGTCGGAGGTCAACGTTCAAATCAGCAACAGCCTTAGCCCAGTCATGGGCTGCAGGGGCGTTCCTGGGCATTTTCCAGCTTAAAGCACACCACCAGAATGTAGTTGATATACGCTTACCAATTTACACCGGTAAAGCACCCGGGTTTTACGGACCGTAAAGTAACTTAAGTTGGACCTCTAAGTGACAATCAGTTTACGTAAATGTTGTATTTCCCTTTTTCTATTCAATATAACTAACGCAAAAACAAAACTGTTTCAGAGTGGTTTGATAAAATGTGAGGCCGAAGCCGAAGGTTTGTGTACAGGTGTTCAGAATTCAAATGCCAATCTGTGGGGTTTCCTGGCGCATAATTCCGACGAGGTGTACCCCGGGGTAGCGTCCTTGGACCGCTGTGCTTCAACATCTTTCTCAATGACTTATCATACTTTATTTCGCGTGTGAGCTTCAATTCATATGCTGACGATCAGCAGCTGTATCACGCGGACAGTGATCATGCGGCCTTGTACGCAAGTCTAGACCACGAGTTAAGGGAGGCGATGCAGTGGCTCAGGAAAAATGGCCTGCTGGCTAATCCCAGCAAATTTCAACTGTTAGTGTTAGGAAGTACTGAACAGGACTTTTCTTTCAATAGTAATGGTCAGCAAAAAGGAGGATAAATCACACATCTCACAATGCAACGCTTTCAGCTATATACTAAGTTGGCGAGAACACGTGATCGAATGAACGCGCGATAGCAGAGCGTGCCGATGAGCGCCCATGTTTTATAATCGACGATGTTATGCACCTATCAATGTTATGCCGGCGGCGGGGGGAGGCAGGGCATGAGGTGGGGATTTGATTGTCTTTGTTGGCCCTGGGGTAGGGCATTTGACTGATCTTGCTCTCCCAGGGGAGGTGATATTTAAATCTTTCTTCGCCCGACGTGGAGATATTTGACTGCCGACTCGGACGAAAAAGAATGAGACCGAACACATGTTTCCCTAGCTTCCACGTTTCACGCATGCGCCGTCCCCCCCCCCCCCCCGCCGCCGGCTTTACATTGATAGGTGCATTATACCTTATACTCCTTGGACACGGAGTACATTTTTGAGCTCACATTGTCTGATGTGCCTTTCCTTCACGTTTCGACTCGTTAGTTAGTTTGCCCGGATCTCTTTCGGAGCGGTGAAATGGTGTTTTCCTTAGTGATGTTCTTCAACCAAGCATGTGCTTGAATCAAGCAAGAAGTGCAATTTAGAATCCCAGGTAAGAAGCAGTCAAAAGTTATAACAGATGCCTTGTTTGTCAAGAAAAACCTAATAAATATTCGATCAGTGTAAAACGCAGACTGCAGACTGCAGACTGAGAGTAAACCGAATGCTGGGATAAAAAGAAAGACCGAGCATAAACTTTAATCGTGGAAGGGTTTAAGGGTAAAAAAATCCCCCAAATACATGTAAACGAACACTTACTTGACGACATCTGCTTTCACAAATCCATTCCTTTCTTCTCTGGAACGTCGTCAACGACCCAAAAACATAATCGCAATCTTGAACCTTTTTCTCCGTCCGAGAGACCTCACGCTTCGACTTTAAACGCGACGTTTTCGATACACCTGACCGGAAGGGGTTGAAACGCTCATACGCGCTCTCTGGTTCAGTAGTGATGCGGAGTAGGACTGGAACTAGTTAGCACTTCCGCCCTCGATCCGCTGTCAGGGCAAGAAAAATGGGGCGTTCTAGCTGGAGGTAGGTTCGGATGTAATCAAATTTAATATTTGGCGTATTTCTATGCGATACACAGAAAGTATTTAGGTTATATTTATAGTTAGTCTTTTGCAGCAAAGTTTCAAGACCTGACCACAAGAGAGTCTGCTGAGTCAAACGCTTCTCTTCAAGACCCACTGATGACATCTGAAGGTAGGTTTTCATTCGCGCTTACGGCAAACGGCAAATGTGAGTTTGTACCACGTGACCAAGTGTGCCATTTACTTATCGTTTACTGTTCATTATAAGTTTAACTACACGGAAATCGGTAGATTTACGGCAATTCCGATCCATAACAATTGGTGTAAGGTGTTTTTATCCGCTTATTTCTCGTTTTGAAAATTTCTCAACTTGAATCTCACGTTTGCCGTTCACTGTAAAGGCGATCCTTATATTAATCCCTCTAATATTAATTATAACTGATTTAGAGTGAAATTTTATTTGTTACAAGAAATGATAGAATAGTTTAATAGCCTTACATACAGTTATCCAAGAAAGTCATCAGATCACATAAGTTTTTTAGAATTAAACACATTCTTGCCTGCGATTTTCGTTACTAATAGTTCTAGCAGTTTGAAAATGGTTTAGCAATCTGTTTGACAAAACGTCGTGATGCAAATGTGCGCATACCAACAGGGGCAAACGAAAAAGCCGATTTAAATCAGGAGAAATTAAAGCACAGTGTTCTTTCGTCAATTGTTCAAATTTGCTCATTTTGTCCAGTGTTCAAATGAATTTTTTTGAAGCGCGGATAAAATAATATGCCTCATTTCTATTTTCCTTCATTAGTCATTCCAGAGAAACTTGTAGAACTGATCAGACGAGACTACAAAGGCGCGGTGCTGTGTCCTTTCCCATGGTGTGAAGATGAACTACAGCTGAAGCTATCGAACATCTTTACAAGACTGAAAATAGTTAGTAGAAAAAAAAAACGTTCACAACTAACGGATAACACCGTCAATATGACAGACGTGTTCAAACCACACCGAGAATGCCACAGTCCAAGAGTGGTGCTGATCGAGGGGAATCCTGGGATGGGCAAAACTACGTATTGTCAAAAGCTGGCATATGATTGGTCCGTGGGGAAAATTCCACCTGATGCTTCGTTTCCTGAAGGGAAGATATTGTTGCTGTTGAAATGTCGTGACATGCACATGAAAACCGCTAACATCGAGGAAGCTATTGATGATCAGCTTTTACCACAAGATGCAAACAAGAAGGAAAAGGAAGACTTGTTCCACTTTATTCGCTGTAATCAGTCCAGAATCTTGTTGGTTCTAGATGGTTTGGACGAGCTGCGTGACGATCTGGTGAAGGGTTTTCTACCTTTGATTCGAGGCAAAGTCTTTGCTAATGTGTACCTCATGCTAACTGCTCGGCATGAAGTTGGATTGAGAGTGAGGCGATATTGTGACGTGCTTTTTGAAATTGTTGGCTACACAAAAGATGACGTTGAAAGTTACATTAAGAAGTATTTCAGCAGTCATGAGGATCAAAGCCTTGCTGACAAACTGTTAAAACAGTTGAAACGCGACAAATATCTCGCAGAATTAACGGCTAACCCCCTTAATACGGCTTTGTTGTGTCTTCTTTGTGAAGAAACAAGAGGAGTGTTTCCCTCGAGTAGAACTGGGATTTACGACGACTTGGTGTCTTGCGCCCTCAGGAGATATTATTCAAAGAATGGTATGTCTGTCGACTACGAAGATCCCACTGCGAGATGCGCAAATGAATTAAATCAGTTGGGGAAAATGGCATATGAGACATTGATTAAGAATCAGTTATATTTCAGTGAAGATGAGATGAAATGTCAGTCAGCTGATTTATTGCAATTATGTTTTCTTTCTCGTGAGGCAAGTGTCAGCAAAATCAGGCCAAGGCCATGCTATGCTTTTACACACAAAACGTTCCAGGAGTATTTTGCGGCGCTTTACCTCGCCCATGAGATATTAAATGGCGACAGTGTTAAAGCCGACAAGCTGTTAGATCAACTCAACCCTTTTGACAACTGGCATGTGTGGGAATTTCTCCTGACAAGCATAGCAAGGAAAAGAAGCGACATGGCAGTTTCGCTTATTTCGCCTCTTTCTGCGTCCGTCTACCGCGAGAAAACTAAGAATTTAATCAATACCACTCACGACGCCGACGACAATTTGGATAAAGAAATCTGTGAAAATATAGAGTACAATTTTTGTGCTATGCCTGCGGAAGACTTAGAAAATAACCAAGTGAAAGGGGTGAATGATGTAGTGACTAAGACACTTCATCTTATTGCTGACTGCGATAACGATGGACATGAACTAACAGATTACCAAATAGAAATGATACATGAATTAGCGCGATGTCTTCCAGAGCATAAATTACAGCTGGCACTAAGTTCTCGCTATCTACCGGTCTACTCTGAATATTTGAAGGTAGCAGCCTCACTTAGAAACTTGCTTCTACACAGTGACTTAAACGGTATACTTCTAGCAACGATTCAGCATGCTTTTCATCCAACACATTCACTAGTACGCCTAGAGTTGGCAAACACCTTCAATGCACTTTTCGATCCAGTCTTTCAGTTGATAAACCATTTTTGTAATTTTACGCTACATGCCGAAGCTCTCGAATTAATTCTATTTTCGGGTTTTTTCCTAACCCACCTTGATCTGAGCCGAATCTGGGTCTCTGACGAAGGAATCGAAGCACTCAGCGAAGGTCTTAGAAGAAACTGTTCGTTGACCAATTTGAAACTACGTGAGTGCGGAATCTGTGATGCTGAAGCCCAAACACTGGCAAAAGGTCTGGTGACAAATTGCACTTTGACACACTTGGATCTAATGAAGAATGCCATCGGTGGTTGTGGTGCAGAAGCTTTAGCGGACGTCCTCCATTGCAATTGCACACTAGTGTATTTAGATTTGCGTGACAATCACTTTGGTGACTCAGTTGCGGAGGCATTTGCTCACGTTCTTCAGTCCAATTGTGCCCTGGTACATTTGAATTTTAAGAAGTGTTTTGAATGCTTGTTTAAAAATCAGTGTATTAAACATTCAGTCGATAACCTTTCTAATGATGGCCAAGTTGAAATGATAGGCCCCTCAGGAGCATCTGCTCTCGCACGAGCTCTTCGATTAAATTGCAGCCTAACTTATTTGAACCTCGAGTTAAATTGGATTGAGGATTCAGGCGCAGAAGCACTAGGAGAAGCTCTCCAAACGAACTGCACTTTGACCCATTTGTATCTTATGAGCGGTGCGATTGGTGATTCTGGAGCAGAAGCCCTCAGCAAGGCATTGCAATTAAACTGCACCTTGACGAGTTTAGATCTTCATTGCAACAGGATCGGTGACTTGGGAGCAGAAGCTCTCGCGACGACGCTTCTTTCAAGTGGGACTCAATTGAGTCAATTAAATCTTAGGAACAACATGATCTGTTCTTCAGGTGTAAAAGCTATCGCCAAAGCACTTCAGTCTAACACGTCTCTTACCCGTTTGGCACTGGGCTCGCAGTACCTTCCAGGCGCATGCGTAGGGATTGATTCTTCTGGGGCGAGCTTAATTGCTGTGGCACTGAAGTCGAACCGTACTTTGACTCATTTGGATCTATCAAGTAGTAAAATAGGTGATTCTGGAGCCACAGAATTGGCCCATTCTCTTCAGCATCATAATAATTCTGTGAAATATTTAGACCTTAGAGCTAATCCCATTGGTCTATTGGGCAGAGCGAGCCTTGATTTGGTTGATCAGTCGAATCGCGTCCTTAAGTACAATGAAACGATATTCCAGCGTCCTAAAATTGCACAAATAGACTTTCCCGCTGACTTTATTTAAAATATGGTAGAAGTTGTTAGCTATTAGAATTCCTAAATCAATTAAGGGATCCGTTGTTTATGTGAGGGTGGGAAAGTTTTTTTTTTGTCACCGCTCTACCTTGGCTAGCCTCCCACGCAGGCGTTTCTCAGGGGAGTCACTGACCTCGAACTTTTTACTGGCTGTGAGCAGAACAAGTAAACAGCACAGTGCATCCAGTGGTTGATTGAGTCTTAGATGTTTCGTTCAAATGCTCTTGAATTTCAGCCACCGTCTTGAAAAGACCTTGAATCTCGAGTCGAGTCCTTGAAAAATTCTTGAATTTATAATACGTCGGAAAAGCACTCGAAGTGAAAGATGTTTCATTCCCATATTTATCAAATTTTGTTGTTGGAAGAAAGTATTGATCGTCCAACTTCATTGTTTTTCAAAGTAATTCACACTTTTAAAACCTATATTCTTCAAGTAAAAGTTGTCATCCGTGTAGTTGAATTTATTCTGTTTTACTATGTTTTAGGCCGTATTTCGGCTATTTTTTTTTTCGCAAGAAGCGTGAAGATTTTCCCCCATGTTTTGTCCAGCTCTTCCAAAACAGCTAAGCTAACTCAACCTTGACCCACGTCAAATTAACAACGAAGCCAGAAACGATAACCGATGATGGCAACACAATCAGAATAGTACTTCGCTTCAAAGATGAGATACCGTAAAAACCCGCGTATGGAAACCTAGATTTTAAGAACTTGTTAGGCTTAGATTGTCCATTTAGACCCCTTTTACACAAGAACCTGTTTTAGCCTAAAATTTTTGAACAGATTCTTATTTTGAGAAATTTCGCAGTGAAACTCTGAATACGCAAATTTAATACAATAAGCTCTACCAGTTATTAAAATGCAGTTAAAACCGTAGTCTGGCAATATATATATATATCCTTGTACTTGCACATCCACCATCCACATAGACCCACGTAATAGTAACTGCCTCTTTTATTTACAATACCAATACTATATGGCAACAGAGCACAAGTGTATGCAATACCAAAAATAGGCCACACCCATCGATGACAAACATCTTATTTATTTTTAAAAATAAGAACCTGTTTAAGAACCTGAGTAGCCTAATTTTCCAGTTAGCACCATTTTCATGAGTTTCTTAGCCTAGCTTGGAAAAACTTAGGTTCTTATACTGTTTATTTTTACTACAGTCACGAATGCAGCCCGTAGGCAACTGATTGCGTTTTGCGTTCACTTTACAGCTCTTTTTGTGAGCAAAATTGGAGCAAGACCTTAATCCGAAAGAAATTAAGCCGAGTATTGTGTCAGCATCATTTGGCGTTGTTTATAAATTTGCATTTGATCTGTGTGATGCGGATTATGTTGGCTACACAGTCTGACACCTTCGTCGACGCATTGCTGACTGACTCAAATATTCGGCTATCGGAAAGATGTTTTAGAAGCTCACGGTGACAAAAATCTTAACGAGAATCAATTTAATTAAGAAGTGCCACGGAAAATTGTACCACAAGGTTATCGGTCAAAAAAGACACCCTGTTCAAGACCCTGAATAGTGTAGATTTTCCTTTTAAAAGTGGTGGAATATGTAAAATTCAGAGATGGCATATTCCCCTATCCTGGGCTGGCCTAGCCTATACTATTGGGCTCCCGGCTCCTTGCGCGGGTACTTTCTACAATCTTGGACAAAACTGTTGAGAAAATTGTATACTTGGACAGCATTTTTCTAAACATCGTAGTTGTACCGGTTCTTCCCTCTCCCCCTTCCCCTAAAAGCAATGTTGTTGTGTATTCAAAAGAAAGCCTGATCCCTGGGGGTTTGTGGGAAGCAACATTGAATTGAGGGAAGGGGTTTTCTTTCCGCAAAGGCGTCGTTTTGGAAATAGTTTTGTTGCGTAGGAAAGTGGACATGATGGGGAAAACTTTCTCAAGTAGTTTTGTCCGGGATTGTATTTGACTGCGAAAGGCGATTTGCAGCCTTTAACGCAACCAAATCAGCCTGTTCTTTATAAATGTAGTACATTTCACAGAAAAGTAGATAATTAATGCAAAATGAGTGAAAACAGAGGCGTTTATGGCAAGAAAACCAATTGGTATGTCTTACTTGATTGGGGGGGTCAGTCAAGAACGTTTGCGAAATTCATTTTCCAGGCATGGTTTTTACGCGCGCTTTGAGTGAAGAGTAGCGGGCATACATTGCGCTTTTCGAGGACGAAAAGGACGTTTCCGTCAAGCAGATTAGCCAGAAAACGGGAATTTCACCCACTACGATTCGATCAACAAATAACACATGAAACTTTTGCTGAATTTTCAGAGCGCGTGACCCGACAACTTTGAACAATTTTCCCATCAACGAAATAGTCAATGGGCAAGCACTTGCAATGAATAAAAGCATCAAATGGCGAGAGGATGAAATATTTACAAAAACTGCATTTTTACTTTTCACATTTGAATGCTTACTTTTGAAACTGTAGCGATATCAAGTCCAAAGAAACACACTATGAAATCTAGAAATGTCACGCGCGATAACGTGACAAGATGTACTATCGCGTGACCTGTAAAAGTGCACGTTTTGTCCTCGGGTTACATATGACTGGAAAAAATTATGACCTAAATTGATAATTTGTAAACCAAGGAACGATAAAAGTTGCCATAGTTGACTTCTAATCTTTTTCTCTCCCCAATATCTGCAAGTCGGAACGATTAACAGGACATATTTGAACGGTTGCGAAGATTAGCAACGGTTAACAACGATTAACAGGAAAGTTTAAAAAGAATCAGAAGGTCATTCTCTATTGAAAACGAAATGTGTTAACCGTTTCAATGCTTTGTTAATCGTAATATTATTCTATCCATGGAATTATCATAAAAAGTTAACCGACTTTTAACAAACAAAGTTTCTGTAACACCCATAGTTTAACCAATTATAAGCTCTGAGAAGCAATTTCAATGTGACGGGAAACGGTTCCACATTGGATTGACTATTATGTCCCTAAATAAACACTACGAACTCCTTTTCTTCGAAGAGAACTGTCATACAAGTCTTGTTCAGACTCTTCTGAAAAAGGTAAATTACTTTTCACATTTTCCGAGCCTTCCATTCCGGAACTACCGGAAAATATGTAACAATTAGCACGCGTTGTACGGCTATTTCGAAATCTGACTGTTTTAAAGAGGGTGCTGCAAAAAACGTATATGAGGTCTTGCTTTTCTGTGAAAAGATGGTCTGGCGTGAAACTTTGTGCACAAAACAGCTTCTCTAAAGTGCTTTTTATTAGAATGTTTTTGTTTTGTCCTTGCAAATATTCTTGCCAGAAAACGCGAATCACCTTGTACACAATCTTGGACAAAACTGTTGAGAAAATTGTATACTTGGACAGCATTTTTCTAAACATCGTAGTTGTACCGGTTCTTCCCTCTCCCCCTTCCCCTAAAAGCAATGTTGTTGTGTATTCAAAAGAAAGCCTGATCCCTGGGGGTTTGTGGGAAGCAACATTGAATTGAGGGAAGGGGTTTTCTTTCCGCAAAGGCGTCGTTTTGGAAATAGTTTTGTTGCGTAGGAAAGTGGACATGATGGGGAAAACTTTCTCAAGTAGTTTTGTCCGGGATTGTAGGCTAAGGTGCTGACGGAGCCGCTGGCCAAAACCACCCAAACTTCTCGCGGCTCCTCCGCCAATTAAAAAGCGACAGCACTCCGCCGGGCGCTATAATCTCGCCAGCTACGCAGGCTAGGTCTAGACTGCGAGCAGTCTCCCTTTTTCTTCAGATTTAGTGACTGGGTAGTACACGCGCAAGCGAGCGTCGAGCAGCGAAACCGCAAGACGCGATAAACGAGGGCAGCAGCCCGAGAAGAAGAATGAGCGACCATTCTCTCTGGTTTTGCGGGTGGTCTCTCTTTTTTCGTGCCAATCCCTTCTCGCGCCCTCAGTCACGCGCGTGGTCATTTCAGTGTCTCGCACGTCCAAGGGTCAATTTAATAAAACTTTTGCACGTGTAATTTACAAGTGTAGCAATTGTTTTAGAGTCTCAGAACAATAGCTACACTTGTAAGTTAAAAGTGTAAAAGTTTTCATAAATTGCCCCCAAGAAAAACGAGACTGCTCGTAGTCTAGGCTAGGCCTGGTCGGGCAGACAAATTCATGACAAATTAAGAATTTGTTCATGTTTAGCGTAGGTATATTGAGTTATGGATGCACACAGGAAGTTTGGAGAGTACGAAAGATGCGTAAGAGTTTCTTGAGGCGCAGCTAAGAGAAACTCTAGCTTCTTAAGTGCTCTCCAAACTTCCCAAATGCATCCTTAACTCGATATACGCACAACTAAAAGCATGAGCAAATTCTTTTATAACATAGCCGACAAAATTGCTTGCTTTTTGATTAACTGCAAAATTCTCGTAACGCGCGACACAATAACAAACGCTTCCATTGGCTGGTTACAAACACCCCACAATCGTCTCTAGTTTGAATGGAAATTCTTTCTGTAAAACTAAGAAAGAAAACTTGCTAATTTATTCGTTAACGATCAACGGAAACTAAGCAGAAACAAAGGTAAAAGAGTCTTAAAGTCCACCTAAAGTTAAAATACTCACATGTTCATAAGAAGTCGTGGAGTATGGTTTGGATTTGCTGAAAGGATCACAGGGCTCCCAGAATCCTCACAGCCTAATGGAAGCTAAATTATAAGGATTTGTATGGAAATTTATCTTAAGATCGATAAAATGGTTAAAATGAACAAAAACAGCTATTAAAGTATACATACCTCATGAAAAGTTGTGTCTTTGTTGTTCTCTTACTGTTTCTTGCTCTATAAACGCCATTTTGGTTTGTGTTTTGGTTTTTCAACTATTTAGAAGTCTAAGTCTTCTTAATAACATTTTGTCTGTATATACCCCTAGTTTTTAGCTTTTTTAGTTTACTTGTAATTAGTTAATTGCAAACGACCCCACAAGCTCATGTAGCTTTAATACTCATCGTTTTAAAATAAAGGCTATCTATCTATCNAATTCTCGTAACG